GCCCTTCACCCCAATTCAGCCCCACCCAAACCTGCTAACCTTATTCCATCCTCCCAGCCCAGCCACCACCGTCAAGATATGGCTACTTGTGAATTAGTTCACATTGTTCTGGAAACCAAGAAAAGAAGGGAGGATTTTTCATTGTTATATTCTCCCAAATTCTATGTATTAAGTAGCAACATTCTATCTGTTGGAGAAAGCATCCACTCTCTAGTGGCAAAAAGCAGGACTGCACGGGACTTTGAAAAGCTCTGGAGGAACCCAGTCACTATTGAAAATCCAAAAAGACATGATGGACACACAAAAAATTAAAAAACAAAGTGACAACACTGATAATGATGAGTCTCATAGATGGAGGAGGAAAATGGGTGACATAGGAATGCTCTTCCTTACAGAGTATGAAACATTTCTTCATTAAAAATAAGTTATCCCTGCCCTGGCTGGTGTGGCTCAGTGGACTGAGTGCCAGCCTATGAACCAAAGTCACTGGTTCCAGTCCCAGTCAGGGCACATGCCTGTATTGCAGGCCAAGTCCCCAGTAGGAAGTCATGCTTAAATAAGTGAGTCTTATTCTTGTAATCTTATCCACCTAATGTTCCCATCTTCCAGCAAACCTAAACTGTTGCCCAGCTCTGTGCTCTCAAACTCATCCACATACACAGTAGCAAAATTTAGTTTAAGGAAATAAACATGTTGTGCAGACCAAATAAACATAGGAAAACCAGTCACAGGTCCATCTTTGCTTGAAAGAGATCCAGAGCAAATAGGCCATGTTTGCAGTTGCTTTGAATAAATAAATACACGGGCAAACTAATTTAACTCTCTTAGAGAAACTCTACACTTTATTACTAACCACGGTGACCCAGTCAAGTGGTGCCATGGAAAAAAACACGGCAAGACAAACACTAATTATTTGGATTTTCCTCCCTGAATCAGTCATGAAATGGTCAAAGCTTTTTTTTAAAAAAAGGAAAATATCTTCTAGATTTAGTTTAGTGGTGGCATTTTGAATTGTGACCAAAATCCAGCAGTCCTGGACTCAGTCTGGCCATATGGTTATGTGTGCCTGACAGGAAAACAATGAGGTAAGTCCATTAAGGAATCATATTAAAAAGTTTTCACAGAAATAAACGATTCTCACAGATTTTTTTCAGTTCAGAGCCTTTTATAGGGGACCAAAAGCTACGTACAACAAATTGTCCCTGTGAAGCTCTCCTCATCAGAGTGACTGGGTGAAACGAACTTTCTTTCAACATAAAAGTAACGTGGTAGTTTTCCTGCTTTTATTAAATATCAAGATTATTAATTCATTCCAGAAAAAGGGCAAGGCATAAAACCATGTATACTAATACCACAAAAGATCAAATGCCTACCCCCAAAATCTTCTCTACTCTCCACAAGATTTTTGCAAAAGCATTTTTTTGCAATTCTTTTTGCAAACTGCAATGTTATTTTCCCATTTTACTTGGAGATCACAGTTTCTCTCTAAATAATCCTTGATAGAAAAAGACCTATTTTTAATCTGTCTCCTGGCACTGTGGCATGTTAGAGACCCAATCAAAGTTTGTCAAAGAAAAATAGTCTCCCTTTTGAAAGTGAATAAAATGTTCATTTACTCTAGGTAAATCTCCCCTTTCAATCCGACCATCTGGATCTAAATTAAGGTACCCAACTTTGAACATGGGTATGCTCACCATCTGGCTACTCAAAAGTGGCAATTACTTCAGGTAAATGAACAGCTTACCTAATTCTGAGCAAGTATATTCTACTATAGAATTCTATGGCATAATTACACACCCAATTGAGGAAAAGGTGATTATGTGTTCTGCCCAATGGAGATAATTTACTGCTGTGTGTAAACATTTCAAATTTAAGAGAATTTATTTATTTGCAATATCCAACAAGTGATGAATTTTTCTTTAGCCAAATGACCGACAGAAGTAGAGGATCTGCCTCAAGCAGAGGAAATTTGGGCTTCAATGGGGAGCTTGTCTTCCAACCTTTCTCAGCTGTAGTTATGGGAACCTAGAAAAGTTAAGTCTTCCCTGTAGGACAAAACCAAGCCCCCTCCAACATCTGGTCAGTGGTAAAACCTTCCAGGGTTCAAAGGTATATAGCATGTGGTGAAATCTAATTTTCCTGACCTCACCCAAATTGTTTCTCTCAGACCTCTGAGTGAGGAGTGAGTTGAAGAATTAGATTGATTGGGATAGCAATGAGTTGTTTCCACATAGGCTAAGTGGACTGAACTGTAGTATTACTCTTCTAAATATTTCAAGTTGCTTAATGTGACTCCCCACTGGCAGATTAAATATTTATTTTCATTACAGAAATTATCTGATAATTAAATTTGCAAAAATTATGACTAACTAAAAACCAAGATATTTAATCATTAATCAAATGAAAACTCCGAGTTTGTATCAATGCCCTTTCGGAAGGGTTTTAAAATGCCAGTTTACATTGCATTTTTGGGATAAAAACATCACCAATAAAAGTCCCACTTTGGCTGAGTTCCCAATATTGGCTTATTTTCCCATGTTCCAAGTTGCTTTAGTAATAACAACAACCAAAAAAGTGTTAATATATAATATTGGCATTATTGTGAAATAGTTTATTCTATTTCCTTTGCCTCATCAACTCCAGGTATCAACATTCAAGAAATTATCATATTCATTCTGGTATTCAAAGGGGGAAAAAAAGAGAAACAAGGGTTTGGCCACATATGCACTAGGTTAAACTTTCAACCAAGTTATTTACATCTTTGGAGAAAACTGAAGAAGAGAGTTTGAACACCAATATACACCAGGAGTACAAGAAATCAGTTAAGGGTCAAGCGGAAACATCTGGTCTTTTTTAAGAATTCTGTTAATTTGAAAGCACTGACCAAAACAAGCTCAGTTCAACCAAATATATTTTGGCAAGGCTCAAAAAAGATGATTTGTTGAAACTATTTATTTCACCACAAATTTATTGGTAATGATATGCAGCTCCCACTGTTGACATTTTGATATAACAAGCTTGTTTCTAAACATAACATGCAAATTTGCCTTCTATGCCTTTCCCCCCATATTTGATATTTGATATGGGGGAAAATACGTTTAACCTGTATTCATTAGAATATGTTGGAAGTGGAAGGGGGTTTAAATAGCCCACATCTGATCTTAGGAGAACGAATAATGTATACATTCACTTACAGATTTTAACTATCATACAATTACTAGCATTGGGCAATTTATTTCTATGACGTTACTTCATAGTACTCTATAAGTAATAAAACATTTGTGTTCTCCCCTAACACACTGAAATTTCCCCAGCCTCTTATACAATAACTTCTTTACAAAATTTCCAGACAACATGAGCCCTGGTCCAGGGATCAAAAAAAGAAGGTCAAGTCCCAGCTCTCCACTGACAAGCTGCTGTCCTCAGGCACCTTGGGCTACTCAGAGCCCCAGTTTTAGGCAGTTGTGAGAATGACTTGGGAACAGAGGAGGCGCTACAAGTGGCATCATTACTAATTTCCAACCTGCCTATGCTTCTAACGTTGTCAATTTCATTTTCTTGTTCAATTTTGTTGTCCATCAGCCCTATAGTCATTTAATTAACCAGTTATTTTAAAAAGCAAGGGGTTACAGCAAAAAGCAAGAATTACGTTTTTTATTCATCCGATGATATGCTTGAGAGCTTAGTACCACCAACACTTATAACAGCTGACATTTATGGTGGATACTCTACATGCCAGGTATAGGGTTAAGTGATATCCAATGCCTTAGCTCACGGACACCTGCAACAATCCTGTGAGGATAATATTATCATCATTATCCCCAAATTAAAAATAAAAATATGGACTCTGGGGCTAAACTCCCTGCTTTGTGGATTCACCCGTGTCAAGTTATTTCACTTCTCTGTTCCTTCATTTTCCCACCTGTTAAATAGGGAATGGTGGTAGCACCCTATTTACTCCACTGGGTTCCTGTAAGATTGAGTTAATGTACGTTGCTCAGTAAGCACTAGCAGCTGAGTAAGCACTAGAGGTAGTCATTGTCGGGATAGGAACGGGGTTCTGTTGGACTTCCAAGTCGGAGCTCTAAAGAAGTGGTGAAATGACCCACAGGTCCACAAAAAATAAACAACAGAATACTGCCCAAGCCTAAAAAGTTAGTAGATACCCACTAATAAGGCAATTGAGACTGACCGCTAGCTTTCCCTCCGTTCACCAATGGAATCATTTCCAGAGTCAGTAACTCAGGAACAAACAACTGGAGCCACCGCGTTAGAAGAGAGCCCGCAGCACTTGCAAGGACACCCTTACCGGCCCCGCCCCCTTACTCTGTCACCGGACCAGCTCTTGCTACTCTAAATCTCAACTTCCAGTTTTTGGAAAACTTTATGCAGCCCAAGCCGGTCCTCTGCTTTCTGCCTGCCAGACAATGGGCGAGGTGTGCGTTTGCGGGGGATGGGGTGGGGGCAGGGAGGGGCTTTGCCCTGCTCTATCCTGCACTGCCATCTCCCCGGATGCGCTGCTACCCTGGCCTTTGGCAGCTAACGTATTTTCCCTGGACAGTAACTTGGCAGGCCTTTGATGTCACCCTGGCTCGAAGTCGCTCAGAGGACAAACTAAGAGGGGAAGGTGGGGGGGCGGTGGGGGGGCGGGGGAGAACCCTGCGCCCGGCTGGCTAAAGGACCGTTGACGGGGTGGGGAGGTCCTGGCTAAGCAACTTTGACAGGGGGACAGGGTGGAGGGGAGGTCCTGACTAGAAGAGGGGATAGAATTCTTCGTTCACCACTGGTGAGTTAGTTTGCGTAGTTGGCAACAGGGAGAGCCCAGGCATCTGGGAGACCCTGAGGGCTCTTGGTGATAGTCCTACCCAGCCTTTACTTCCTTCCTCCACCCCAAGCTTCCCGGTATCGGACGCCAGGAGGGTCCCCGGGGTCACCAGCTGCCCCGAGTTTAGAGCAGCTTGGCTGGGTACAGCGGTGCCGGACATCGCCTCCCTCCGTACCTTCTCTCCCCGTGGAGCACGTAGGAGCTGCGGAAGAAGCCCAAGAGCTCGTTCTCGATCAGGGCGTTATAGATGATCTTCAGGTTGTAATTCCTCTGCGCGTCCAGGGTCCTGTTCAGCACCACCACCAACACCTGGGTTTGCGGATAGAGGAAAAAGCCGGCCACCGGGACGGCCCCCGCCACCCGGTCCTCGGCCACCTGCACCTTTTCCACCGCCACCCGGGAGGCGTGCAGCACGACGTAGCGGGTGGCGTTCCGGCACGCGATCTCCACGTTGACCTCCCCGGAGAAGGTGAAGTTCTCCATGAAAGCGGTGAGCATCAGATTGTAGTGCAGCGGCTTGAGATGGCCGGACAGGCGCAGCTGCGTCCACGGCTGCCGCTGCTCCTGCTCCTCCTCCGACGGCGGCTGGGCAGACGGTGTCCCAGGGGTGGCCTCCACTCCTGCCTCGGGCTGCGAGGAGTCCCGGCCAGCTTGATGGTTGCGCCGGGGAGAACCCGGAAGGCTCCCGTTGCCACCGCGCGGTGGGAAGCCGGCGAGGCCACCCTCTGCGCCGGACGCTGCGCTAGCCCCACACTCGTCGAAGCGCAGGCTGAGCAGCACGGCGAGCATAGTGACCGCGAGCAGCGCCACGATGGACAAGGCGAAGGCCAGTACGAGCCGCCTGTGCACAGTGATGTGGCGCTCGGTGGTGCGGGGTCGCACCCCCACGGAGTCCGCCCACGGGTCCGAGAGCCCCCTGCTGCCGGTCCGGAGCGCGGCGTCGTTCTCCCCCATCGTGGCCGAGAAGGGTGAGCGGCTCTTCTCAGCCCCCTCCTCCTTCTTCTTCTTCCTCTTCTTTTTCTTCTTCTTCTTTTTCTTCTCCTCCTCCTGCTCCCCGCGCTCGCCGTCCAGGGCCATCACACTGCCTCCTCCTCCTCCCCCGCCCCCTCTGGCACCCCCCGCGGGCGGGCCACCCGGGCCACCGCCAGCGAAGGCATCAGAGAGTGCACTCGGGCAGAGGGCGTGACGCCAGCTGAGACCCTGGGGATGCTGGCCTGGGTGCTTTTAAGACGGACTCTAGCCGCAAGCGACAGCAACCTCGGCGCCCCCCATCAGCCCCGCCTCTCTCCTGACACCCGCGGCCAAGGCGCGGGCCGCCGAGCTCTGGGACGCGCCCAACTTGGAAAGCGTCTCGCTCGCCCCAACGTGCGCTACTTCTCCAGCGGGCGCCGGGCTCCCGGGCACATGCTGCCCCCACCCCTGCGCGCCTGCGGCTGCCGGCTTGCCCTCCCCTGCTCGAAGCTTTCGCTTAGCTTTCCTCGGGAGCCTTCCAACGGGTCTTCGGCTGGAAAGGACAGGGAGCAGTGGAGAGGGAAGTTACGGCTTCCGCTTTCTCTCCCCACTCCAGCGGCGGCGTTCAGTCCTCTGGGTGGGATATGCTCGAAGCAGCAGTGGCAGCGGCAGCCGGGGAGGTGCCCGAGCCATGCACCCCTCAACCGGGGCCGAGAGGATGGCCAGGGAGGAAGAGGCTGGGGCGACCCAGCCGGCTAAAGTCCCAGGGCCGCAGAGCTGTGCGGGGAGTCTGTCCTGGAAAAGCCTTCTCCTCCACCCTGGACACTTTAGGCAGCGGTGGCGGCAAACGGCTAGAGGTTGCAGACCGGACAGCGAGCCTCCCTCTTTCTGATGTTGCTCTGACCTCCAGAGATGACAAGTGAGCAAGAAGTGTCCGGCCGGGCCATCCCCTTCAGGTAGATGAAGCCCCGGGTTTGCTCCGTATCCCGGTGGGGAGAGCTGGAGTGCGTGTGTGAGTGCGTGTGCGTGTGTGTGCTCGTGTGTGCGTGTGCACAGGCTCCAGGTCTAGATTGCCAAGGCTACAGGGACTGAAACTCCCGGAGAAAAGCAAAGGAAAGAGCGAGAGAGCCCGAGGAGGCAGGGAAGGCGGGAGGGAGGGGAGCGGCAGAGAGGCTGAGGCAGGCACTGGGAGATTAGAGAGCTTTTCTCCTCTCTGTCACACTAGACACCCACAGCCACAGAGGGGGTTGCTGAGCCGCCTGCCAGAAGTACATTGTAAATCTTCAGCGCAACAAGCCCCGCAGTCACCCCTCTTCCCGACTCCTTAGCCTCACCGAGCCTCCCCGGAGGGATCCTGGAAGCCTTAGGCTATTAAAACCGAGAGCAAAGGGAAGAGCCTGCTGGGGAGACTTGGCTGTGTCAGATTTCACATCAAGCGCGCCAGAGGATTTGGAGGATTGTATGTAAATTGAAATAAATTCTCCGAAGCCCGACTACTTATATTAGACAGTGTATGTGTCCAGGTGTGCAGTAATAAAAGACCGGTTAGCGATGAGCTACTAGAATCCTCCGGCTGTAAAGACCAAACAAAAGATTCTTTTTCCCCTCGAAAATTTCTGTTTTCAGATTGGAGAAATGATTAAAATATAATGCCTTCAGTGTAACATTCAGGACCAAAAACTTGAGACTGAGGAAAACTGGGAAGATGGGCTACATTGCTTTAAACTTACTAGAATACTGAACAAATATATTCCTTTTCTGGTCAGTTTTTCACCTCAACTAGTCACAATTACTTTTTTTTTCTTTTTTTGCAGTTGTTAGTGTTATCATAAAAATTGTTTAAACTCTTTCAGAATAGTTATCAATAGAGAGTGTTTGCTGGCAGCAGGATCTTCAAAACAGGTCCCTAGATCATTGGCTGGTTATGGACTCTTGTCTAAGTTTAGGGAAGTTAAAAATTATAGTGCAGAGTGTACATGGGTGTATGGACTATCCAACCCTGAGAATGTGTGTGAAGAACTTTAATTGGAACAATATTCAGAAAAGAGCCATCCCAAGGTAACAACTAAGAGGCAAGAGTCTCTAGGTTGTGTTTGTTTGTTTTCTGGTTGGTTGGTTTAATAAAACAAAGTGTGATGGGCTTCAGAGTAAAAGAGAAAAAAGTGAAGAACAGAATAAAAAGTGAAGTAATTCCTTTTCATGTTTCTGTCACATCTTCAAATCCTGAAGGGGTTTTAAAAATCACATCCATAATTATTTTTCTTACAAAAATGAATGTTTAATGCTACTGGCTTTAGAGTCTAGAAAATATACAATTAAAATATTGTGTTGGCTTTGAAAGCATGACAAAGAGACCAAATACACATCATTTTTAGCAATACAACCACTGAAAACATAGCCCAGCTTGATAAAGCTCTTTTCCATTTATCCCCAGATGGGATACATTGCCATTACCATACATTCTAAATGTCCATTTGAAGCATTTTTAAATGATGATGAAAAGAAATGGCAGGGTAGATTTTTTTTTAAGCATGTTGCATGTGGGCCGTTAGCAACAGACCAAGGGAAATGCCACATTCTGTTCAAGTTACTTTTTTCTGCACTGTTTTTAAATCTCTATGCTCTTACTGTCCATATGTATCCGGCTGTATGCACTTTAAGAGTTGAGGAGTTGGGGTTCCTCAGTTTTTTTCCCCCACAGAATCAGGAAGTATAGTACAGGGAGGCAAAAAGGTGTGTGTAACTCTTAGCAGGTCACCAGATTTCTTAGACCTCATGGTGTGAATCTGGCAGTTCAGAATTATTGATCTTAAGTCAATGAATTAAATTCATTTGGATCGATAGAAGGATCTGGAACCATCCCTAGAAGTCCGAGAACCACTATCTAAATGAAGAGCTTACCCACTAATGTTTAAGACCTTTCTCTAAAATGATACTAATCAAGAAAAGACTCAAAGAAGGCTTTTCTGGTCTTTGTGTTTTATCAATGTGCTTATGTGCTTTTGAATTTCCGACAAAGCAATTCTCAACTATTACTGAGTAAAGAATATATTTACCAGTTAGTAAAGCTTCTACTAACTGTGATCAAATTAGTGAATGGGCCATCTTTAAGATCCATGCACAGTGAGCACAATCTTATTAACACAAAGTAGATGTAACTTATTAAAACATTGCCCCCTAAAATGCATCTTTATCCAGTAAACTCAGTATCAAGGTCGAGTGGGTAAATATTTTTTTCTCTTGTATCAATGTTATAAAAAGGTCCCAATAAGTTTTTCTTCTTATAATTTCTGAAAGTATATCGTACCCTTCCCATGAGAAGCAAGCACTTTGGTAAGATATTTTAATATCATTTTTCCAGAAAATGTCCATTCTACACTCAAACCAAAAGAAAGCAAAATTTCAGATTGTGTATATAACAAAAATATTAAAGCAATGATTCACTAATATTCTTATAAAGAAACTGCTTTCAGTGTTGTAGATCACTAAATTTGAGATAGTTTTGACTTTGCCACAACAAGAGCCATGTGATGGAATAAGACTTTACAAAGTACCTGATACTTCTCTCAGAAACACATATATTGTTGGGAAGAATTTTATAATTTTCTTTAGCCAGTAAATGTCTTTTTTTTAGCTGATGAAAGCCATTTTGTGCTCATAGTTGATTTTGGGTCTTGTAAAAGAGAAACAGTCTGAATGTTTAATGTACATGAGGCGAAACAGAAGTGAGTTTGCATTAAATCTATACCTTCGCCCTATAGATAATCAAAATGAACTACCTTCAGTGAATGGACTGGTTTCAGAGTCTTTACTCTTTGATTGTTCACACTTGAACTGCTTTTTTTTTTCTTTTCACACTGGTTTGTACATAGAGTATACACTTAAGTGTCCTTAGGTACTCGGCCCCTTCGAGCATGAGTGGCACACTGCATCAGAAGCAGCTTGGAACTAGGAGAAAGAACTAACCTTACCTTACTGCCTTACCCTGACATAGTGACTTAGACTCAGTTTCTGTATAGGAGTTAGATGAGGTTTCTTCAGATGTCTCTTCCAGTCTTCAAATTTTATTAAAGACATTCCAAAGGCAATACAGTAGTCTCTTTATGCTTTCAATGGGTTTTTAATTAATCTTCTTCATTAAGAAGCAAAAATTTCAATTAAAAACTGTAACTTTCATGGGTAAAGAGACTTTATATAAATACACTGTACTAGCAAAAGCATAAAGGGGGAAGAAAACAACCCCTACTACTCTGGCAATGAAAATTGGACTGATATGTTTTATGAGGGGGATGTGTTCCCAAAGACCTCATACAACTGGAGACCAATACTGACGATGAATGGCGGAGTCTCTGTTTACCAGCTAAAGTGGTGCCGCCATGTGGCAATAATAATATAACAGCATTTTGAAATTTAAGACTGTGATAATTTGATGAAATTTTTAATTTGGGGAAACACATTATTGCAGACTTTGTTTTTATATTGCATGATTTCAAAATTTCATACCTTTTGACTACCGCATCTGTTAACATTGTTGATGGGCTTCAGACAAGAAACACCCTTCTAGATAGAACATTCTTCAAACTCTTAAAATGGAAAGAGGAGAACTGTTTAAAATTAGCCATCATTGAGACAGTACATTTTCATGATGTCTGCAGTTTGCCAACTACAATTAACACCTTGATTTAACTATTGTCTGACTCCTGTTTATTTAAAAAGATTAATCTGAATGGATATTGTATCTAAATTTGATTTTATTTTTTAACATGAAAATTGGTGAAATTATAAAGTTGTTTTAAAAAGAAAACATTTCCTAACCTTTTGATAACTAGGTGTTATTAGTCCTGGGAAAGTCTCCTAATTACAGTTACACCAAAACAGAACAAATCTTACAGCATAAAAGGAGGCTTTCTAAATGGCAAATATAAGGAAAAGGATAACCAAATATCCACAGTATAATTCCCAATTCTACCATTAAATGATATATCTATAGAAGAGAGAATTAGGATATCAAGAAGTTGTATTATTTGGGGGTCCTAACACTAGGTTAAAACTCTTCAATGTTCACTGTGGGCTCTTTGGTTTACGATCTCCGTAAGAAATCTCCATAAAAAGATGAAGATAGTATC